CCGTGGCCGGGGTGAGCGAGATCCTCAAGCAGAGGTCGGAGTTCCCGGGCGCTGTGGCCAAGATCGTGGGTATCCTGTCCTGGGGCTTCTTGATCACTCGAGGGGCCCTGGGCGTCTTCTCGGAGGTCTATCACTGGTGCATGGAGTTCCGAGGGGGCCCCCGCCGTCGGCTGCCCGACGAGGTCCTCCGCGAGCTGGCTGTGGCAGCGGCGGTGGTGCCGCTGGTGTCTGTCGACCTGGCCATGCCCTGGGACCCCACGGTGACGATGTTCGACGCGAGCCTCTACGGCGGGGCCATCATCTCGGCCCAGGCCGCCATCCAGGAGATGCGTCGAGAGGCCCGCTTTGCTGTCAGAGGAGGGTGGACCGTCTGGACTGGCATCTCGTCTTCCTGGGCGGCGGACTCTTGGGCAGAAGGCGAGGCGTATCGGCGAATCGCCGAGGGAGTCGAGCTCGGGATGCGCGTGAGGGTACCACCGGTGCACGCTTGCTGGGACGACATGTCGAGGTGGAAGGAGGTGGTCCGCTGGCGCTGGGACGAGAAGGGGCACATCAACCTGCTTGAGATGAGGGCGGGCCTGGCTGCGGTGAGGCACTCCGCTCGGTCGCGTGCGAGCTGGGGCCGCCGCCATCTTCGCATCACCGACTCCATGGTGTGCCTGGGCGGTTTCAGCAAGGGCAGGTCGGCCAGCAAGCCGATCCTCATCTTGTGCCGCCGGATGGCCGCGATCGACTTGGGTTGCGGCATGAGGGAGTACTGGCGTTGGGTGCCGTCCGACCGCAACCACAGCGACGGCCCCAGCCGAGGCTTCCCGATCGGGCAGGCGCCGAAGGAGCGACTGCAGGGCGAGACCGTGCTGCCCGCCGACACGGGTCAGGTGATCGAGGAGTTGGCGGACATCGCGGAGGAGGATCCCTTCGCGCCGCTGCGGCTGGGTCGGACCGTGAGGGCGAAGGTGCTGCGTTTTTTTCACCTCTGCAGCGGCCACGCGCGGTCGGGCGACTTGGAGTTCTGGCTCGCTCGTCTCGCGGCCAGTCGGGGGTACGTGGTGCAGTGCACGAACGTGGACATCGGGTTCGGGCCGGAGTTCGACCTGTCCGAGGAGGTGAACGTGCGGAGGCTGGAGCTGCTCGCCGAGCTGGAGGTGGATGGAGGCCATGCTGGACCCTCGTGCGCTACGTGGTCGAGGGTGCGCTTCCAGCCAGGAGGACCCCCTCCTGTGCGCCTCCGCTCACACCCGTGGGGCCGCCCCGGTCTTCACGGCGCCGACCTGAGGAAGGTGGAGATGGGTTCGGCGCAGCTGTTGAGCAGCCTGCGCGTGCTCAGGGCGATCGCTCTACGAGGTGGCTCAGTCTCGCTGGAGCATCCTGCCGACCCGGGGAAGCCTCCGTTCCCCTCGATCTTTGCAACACCCGAGGTGCTGGAGTGGGAGGAGGTTCTCGGTGCCTACAGGGTGACCTTTCCCCAGTGCATGTGGGGCTGTCCCGCACTCAAGTTGACCACTATCTCGGGGACAGCCAAGGACCTGCAGCGGCTCATTCGCCCATGTATTCACAAGAGCCACACGGCGAGCTTGTGCGGGAAGGACGAGACGGGGCGTTTCAGGACGCGGGTAGCTCAGGCTTACTCGTCCGACCTCTGCCGCGTGCTGGCCGAGTGCCACCTGGACGCGATGCTGGGCGGGCGCGAGCGGCGCGAGGCGGAGTTCACCGAGAGGGCCGTGGAGCTGCTGATCAAGGAGACGCTCGAGCGGAGGCGGCGCAACATACGGGACATCGACGTGCTGCCTGCCTCTTTCCTGGAGGCCTCAGGGTGACCATCTCCAGGACCGGCCTCGGCGTCATGGCCTGCTGCTTCTTTCCTCGGGTTTGCCATGGGATGCCGCTCGCCGACGGTCGTCTGCGTCGCCATTCCCAGGATCGGCGGATGCACGCTACCAATCGACGAAATGAGAGTCAGAGAGCTGGATCATCAGGCCCCACGCAGACCTCGGAGGCTGGGCTCTCGCTTCTGCCCTACTCGGTGGGCAAGAAGACGGCCCTCAACTGCTACGTGCCCAACGTGCGGCGCTTCCTGGAGTTCGCGCTGGACCTCGACCTGCCCATGATGAGCAGGGAGGAGATCGACAACTCCATCCTGGTCTACCTAGACTACCTGGTCGAGGACGAGGAGGTGGGACCGCACAGGGGCGACTACGTGGTGCACGGCATGGCGTTCGTTTGGCCTGAGCTGTCTACGGGCCTCCCGCGAGCCAATCGGGCCCTGCGGGCGTGGCACAAGATGCACGTGGCCGGCGAGGGTGGGCCTCAGCCACTCGAGGTGTGGGCTGCCCTGGACGAGGCCATGAGGCTGGCCGGGTCCGTGGAAGCAGCAGATGCAGCAGCGCTGGCGGTCGACGCCTACCTCCGCTCGGCGGAGGTCTTCGCGCTGCGAGTCGAGGACATCATCGACGCCGACGATGACGTGGTGGCCATCAAGCTGGGCGTGCAGGAGCGGAACGAGCGCACCAAGACGGGAGTGAGGCAGGGCGCGCTGATCGACCGCCCGCACATCGCCGACATGCTGCGGGCGCGCAAGGCGGCCAAGAAGCCGGGCGAGCTGGTCTTCGGCTGCTCGGTGGAGGCCTACCGTCGTGCCCTGCGGAAGGCCAGCGACGACATCGGCATCGCCGCCTTCCCAGCCCACTCAGCGAGGCATTCGGGCCCCAGCCACGACGCGGCGGAGGGCTATCGGACGGTGTGGGCCATCCAGCGGCGCGGCCGCTGGGCTTCTGAGAAGTCGGTGCTGCGCCACATGAAGACGCACGCCCTGGTGGCCGCGAGAGCGGCCGTGCCCGCCGCCGTGATGGCGCGTGGCCGTGAGCTCCTGGCCAGGCAGCTGCCGCGCCCAAAGATGGCGCGAGAGTGAATGCTTTGATTCAATCGATTTTTTGGTTTGTCGGAGGCAGAATGATTTCGGCTGACGTGGCAACCCCGCCCACCCAGAGCCCTGGGCCACATCAGCCAGGCGCTGTGCGTATCAGCGGTGGGTTGGGGATTGTGAGTTCAGAGCGGGGCCAACCGCTGTGCCCGTCGCCCAGCCAGCCCGCCTCTGGACTTCAGCAAAGGAAGCCGCCGCTCTCGGCGGCACCCGGATCATCTGTCAGGACCGAAAATCGTCGGTCCATCGCTGTTGCCTCGTGGTCCTGATTTCTATTGGCTGGCGCCTTTCCGCTGCTCCCGTCTTGGGGTGAGTTTTTCGGTGGTGAGCCTCTAAATGTGTGTTGTATAAGATACAATGAATTTTTCGGGCCTCCACCTCTCACCCCTTCCCCCCCCCCCGACCTTTACCTTGGACGTCGGGGGGGGGCGGGGAGCAGCAGATGCGCCGTCTGTATAACGAGTTATGCATGTGTTCTCCGTCTCAAGTTCTCCCTGTTCCCTCCCTCCCTTCTTTCGTCTTCGTACTTTTCTGCCTCCTTTTCCCGGCGTTGGGGATTGTGAGTTCAGAGCGGGGCCAACCGCTGTGCCCGTCGCCCAGCCAGCCCGCCTCTGGACTTCAGCAAAGGAAGCCGCCGCTCTCGGCGGCACCCGGATCATCTGTCAGGACCGAAAATCGTCGGTCCATCGCTGTTGCCTCGTGGTCCTGATTTCTATTGGCTGGCGCCTTTCCGCTGCTCCCGTCTTGGGGTGAGTTTTTCGGTGGTGAGCCTCTAAACAGGAATTGTACCAAGAAATTGGCGGCGCACCACAATCACCGGAGCATCGCTCGCCACGTAGCAGCCCACGAGAAAGAGCAAACTCTGCGCACCCCTGTGCCTGCGTACGAATGCACCCTTGTGCCTGTGTGCGCCGCCAGCACTCACATCACAGTGCCCGAGAACACCACAAAGCCCGCGCACACCTCCATGTGCCCGACGGTGTCCAACTTCAACAAAACATGGCCGGCGCAAACGTATTCTAATTCAAATTTGCAAGTTGTTTGAGCTTATTGTTTACTTCTGGCCACGGGCACGGCCTCTATCACCGTTGCCTGCGCGCACAACAGTACCAATGTATACCACAATGCAAGGGACCACCACGCCTGTGTGCATCTTAACTACCGCCGCAGCTGGCGTGCGTGCTATGCACACCGAACTGCTTGTCTCTTCGAATGTGAGTGCGCCGCCGCGCCTGTGTGGGTGCCACAACAGCCTGCGCGCGCCACGCGCCTCTACATACCACGAGCACATGCCTGCGCACACTGCAAACACGTTGCGCGATCTACGAGCAGCATACCTGTGCGCTAAGCAACAGACGCTGCTGCAACGGGGGTGGGTGGGGCGGCGGGCGTTCTGTTATCTACTGGGTGGGTGGGTGGGTGGAGGCCACATAACGCGCATTATGTGCTCGAGTAAAAAAACTTTGGCTACATGGAGTACTGCGACTCGGCGGACAGCGATCACTTCAAACACATCAACAACGAGGACGGTGATGACGGTGATGACGATGTCGACGCCATGGCGAGGCGTTGAAACGGCGCGTCTCCCTCGGCTGGCCCGGCCGAGAGGCCTCCCCCTCCCCCCCGCTAGTCCGAGATGATTTTGGATACCTCGGCCACATGCCGCCATTCCGTCGTTTGACTTGGGAGGTGTTGAGGGTGCGAAGGCTGCGGGAGTCGTGAGGCCCTCCATGTCGCGTTTTCTTCAGAGCCGTGCACGGGGGTCCCTAGGTAAACGCTGCTGCTGACCCAGCCTTGCAAGCCCTTCTCCCTCGCTTGAACAACGTTTCAATTTTGCCGCGGGGCCCGCTAGAGTCTTTTCCAGGTTCCAGCGCTTGTTCGGGATAGCGCCTCAGTAGGCTGAGGTTGTCTGCCAAGCGGAACCCCTTCTTTCAGGACGCAGGTGGCACAGACGGAGGAGGACGAGGAGGAGGAAAAAGAAGACGCGAAGTGATGAGGAGCGGGCAGCATCTCCGACGGAGCAGCCGCTGCGCGCTGGGGCCCGGTGGGGACATGCCCCCCTGGGCCGCTTCTCGCGGAGGTACACCGCATCAGGGGCAACGCTGCCGAGGCTGCGCGGGTCGAGGCGCGCCGTCCCTCTTCCTCCTCCTCCGATGGTGGACGCTTGGGAGGCCCAGAGGCCGCCGAGGGTACGGGCTGCCTCCAAGCCAAGACGCACCCGCGTCTTGGACGCCAGCCTGCACGCCTGGACCTCCGTCCAGAGTGGCAGCCGGCTGTGCCTCTCTTGCCGTCTTTTGGTCCCAGGGTCCCGCGTGGAGTATGTGGCCAGTTCCTCGTGCATCTCTGCCCCAGCCCCAGAGGTGGCTGGGGGTGTTGGCGTCAGCAGTAGCGTTACGCGGTGTAATTCTGACACCGTCTTTGGCGGCCAAGAGGTGCACAACACTCACGTGTTGTACCGATGGGCTGAGCACAGCTGGTTCTTTTGTAACACTTGCGGTTGCACGGGCACGTCCAACTTGGTCAAGTTGGATGTGCCATGCAGTGATCAGCCCACTCGCACAGGTCAAGGGAACCTTGCGCGGATTCGTAAGAGCCTCTACCCCAGCCGCAGCGGGCCGCCCAAAACGGTCAGGCACGCCCTCAATGTCATTCAAGCTGGGGTTGGCCTCCACCCTGTGAGTGGCTCCATAGGGGGACCTCCTGAGGCTGGGGTAGGGCATTCTCCTGGGCGGGGCTCCACTGAGGGCCCCTCTCAGGGATCCTAGGGGCCTCCGTGGGACACTGCGTCCCCTTCACCCTGGTCCCTGGTCCTCCTCTTCCACCTCCTCCTCTCTTCCACCTCCTCCTCCTCCTCCTCCTCCTCCTCCTCCTCTTCCTCCTCCTCTTCCTCTCTCCTCCTCCTCCTGCTCCTCCTCCTCCTCCTGCTACTCATCCTCCTCCTGCTCCTTTTCCTCCTCCTTCTCCTCCTCCTCCTCCTCCTCCTCCTCCTCCTCTCTCTCCTCCTCCTCCTCTCCTCCTCCGCTTCCTCCTCCTCCTCCTCCTCCTCCTCTTTCCTCCTCCTGATCCTCCTCCTGATCCTCCTCCTGATCCTCCTCCTGATCCTCCCTCCTCCTTCCTCCTTCCTCCTCCTTTTCTCTTGTTCCTCTTCCCTCCTCTTCCTCCTCCTCCTGCTCCTCATCTTGCTCCTCCTCCTCCTCCTTCCTCTCCTCCTCCTCATCTTTCTCCTCCTCCTCCTCCTCTCCTCCTACCTACTTCTGCCCTCCTACTCCTTCTCCTCCTCCTCCTCTCTCCTTCTTCTCCTCCTCCTCCTCCTCCTCATCCTTCTCCTCCTTTTCCCCATCCTCCGCCTTCCTCCTTCTCCACCTCACCCTCCTCCTCCTCCTCCTCCTCCTCCTCCTCCTCCTGGACGGGGCCCTTTGGAGGATCCCCACTTTCTTTGTCTTCTCTCGTTTTCAGAGTCGTTGCTCACTGTGAATCGTGGGTGAGCGAAGACAACTCGGAACTCTCACCTCCTGGAGGGGGCCATCCATCTATCCGCTTTCTAGCGCACGGGTGGTCGCACATAGCTTCATGTTGCTCGGCGTGTCCAACTATGCAGTCCGATTTGGCAAGGAGGGAGACAGTTGGCCCCATACAGGTTCGCCTTCGCCGCCTTCTCCTCCTTCCTGTTCCTCCGCCGACCATTTTTTGTTGCCTGGGGCACTGGGTTTCTCAGGCGCGCACGTCTCCCAGGGCTTACGTGTGGTGGTGAGCTCATGGTCGGGAGGATTTTGCACAGAGGTCCACGCCCCGGCTCAGGGCGTGCATACATTAGCCTGGCGAAGGACCTGAGCATATGCAGTTGTGCGTACCGCAGCTGTGAGTATCGTCTTCGATGGCGCTCCCTACGGGGCCACGAACGTGTGAGGGGGGTGCCGAAATTGGGAGGGGGCGCGTATGCGAACACCGCCATGGGTGCCTTATGTAGAACTTCCTATGGGCCACGACACGTGTGAGGGGTGTGCCGAAGTTGGCGGGGACGCATGCGAACTGCGCCACTGGGACCTTCGGTGGAGCTCCCTGTGGGGCCACGGAATTTGTGGTGTGCCGAAATGGGTGGCGGGGACGCATGCGAACTTCGCCACTGGGACCTTCGGTGGAGCCCCCTTGCGGGGCCACGGAGCGTGTGCGCAGGGTGCCGAAATGGGTGGCGGGGGCGCATGCGGGCTGCGCCACTGGGACCTGGTAGAGCTCCCTATGGGGCAAGGAAGCGTGTGGGGTTGGGGAGGGGGCCGAAATAATCGGCGGGTATGTGTACGAACTGCGCAATTGGGACCTTTGGTGGAGCTCCAGTCGCGACACGTGTGAGGGGTGTACCGACATGGGTGGCGGGGACGCATGCGGGCTGTGTCGCTGGGATCTTCGGCGGAGCCCCCTATGGGGCCACGAAACGTGCGAGGAATGTGCCGAAATGGGCGGCGGGGACGCGTGCGGGCTGCGCCACTGGGACCTTCGGTGGAGCTCCCTATCAGGCCACGCAACGTGTCAGGGGTGTGTCAAAAGAAGTACCTGGGTCGTGTGCGAACCTCTCCACTGGGACCTTTTTCAGCTGTGGGCCAGGTTCGCGCGGCACCAGCTCAGGTTAAGCAACCGCCATGCTGGCGGTTGCAGTGGCGCTGGCGGCAGGCGACAGCCTGAAAACTGGGCACCGAACGGTAAAGGAGCGAGCGAGCCAAACTGCCAACACGCCGCCGCACGGTCAGGCCCCCTGTTCAGCACCCTGGGTTGGCCTTAGCCTGGGTCGGCTTATGCGGCAGGCCTGCACGGATCCGCTCGACCTTCTCGAGTCGGTGCTGCAGGCCACGAGCACTCTCTGACAGCTTGCACTCTGCAGATGAGCCGCGGTGCTTTCCTCCGATCACACGGGCGCAGCAGTGGCACCTCGTGCAAATCCGATACCCGTGCACCGTGACTAGCAAGTGCTCGCCGCTGGGCGCCCATGGCACCCGCGTGCCATCACCAGTGGACGACGCAGAGGCTAAAGGGCCAGAGGGGCTCTGGTGAACCTGGGGAGCCTCCTCACCAAGGGCAGAGCGCCTAGACCGATCGAGCGACCTCGAGCGGCGAGTGAATTCTCCAGCACTGAGACACGACCTGACTGCTAGAGCCACGCTGCGCATCTGAACAGGACAAATCGCTCTGACCACTGTGTTGCGGAAAACCACCACTCATGCCGTGTGGCTAACATGGCGAGGCAGAGGATGCCCCCGCGCAAACCTGATCACGAGCAATGTGGGGAACACAACCTGGGGCTTTCGCAGCGGGGCCCTCAGGAGTCTCCACATCGCAAGGAACACAGTGTTGCGATGCAACTTCACTCATGAGGCGTGGCTGACACAGCGAGGCTGACATGGCCTCCGCACAAGCAGCCTGTCCACGAGCAAAGCAAGGAACGCTGCCAGGGGCTTTCGCAGCGGGGCCAACAGGAGCTTCAGAGGAGGGGTCCACAAAGGCTTTCGTAGCGGGGCCAGCAGGAGCCTCACTCACTTGCATCGCGCACCTTTTTGGGCAAGGCGAGCTCACAGCAACGCTCGTGCTTGCTCCCGACGCTGCCGACAGAAGGACATCGATCTTCTGCTGGGCCGTCTTGGCGTCCTTTGGCTTGGGGCAGTACGTCGGTGTCGTCATCGTCTGCCAGCGACCCTTGGTCGGCAGCAGCCGAAACAGCAGCGAAGGCTGCCGCCGCCGTAGCCGCCGTAGCCAGAGCAGCACGGGCAGGTCGCCTCAGCGGGGGCCCGCCAGACAAGGACTGCGCCTACGGCCTCGGCACGCATGGCTTGGCCCAGAAATGCGTCTTTATCTTGCTGCTGTACGCCGTCTTGAGGCACCGCAGGCAGTGGCTTCCGTTGTTCGGCACCTCGATTATCCGTAAGGGTTTCGCCCCATGCCGCCGGCCCCCTGAGTCGGATAATGGGAGATGCAAAAGCTAAATCATGAGGTCTGGGCGCCGCCGTGAAGCAGTGTCGGGACCTCTTTGTTTTTCGACCCTGACCCTACGGATCTGCGTCACGGGTGCCACCGAACTTCAGAAATGTAGCAACTCCTTTGTGTTTTTGGACCCTGACCCTAGGATCTGCGTCACGGGTGCCGCCGAATTTCAGAAATGTGGCAAATCATTTGTGTTTTTGGATCTTTACCCTACGGATTTGCATGAGGGATGCCGCCGAATTTCAGGAATGTGGCAAATCCCCTGGGTTTTTGGACCCTTACCCAACCGATCTGCGTGAGGGGTGCCGCAGAATTTCAGAAATGTGGCAAATCCCAAAAGTTTTTGGACCCTGACGCTGCCGATCTGCGCGAGGGTGCCGCCGAATTTTAGAAATGTGGCGGACCCCTTGTGTTTTTGCGCCCTGACCCCGCCGATCTCCGATCTGCGTGAGGGGTGCCACCGAATTTCAGAAATGTGGCGAACCCCCGGGTTTTTTGACCCTGACCCTACGGATCTGCGTCACGGGTGCCGCCGAATTTCAGAAATGTGGCAAATCACTTGTGTTTTTGCACCCTGACCCTACGGATCTGCGTGAGGGGTGCCGCCGAATTTCAGAAATGTGGCGAATCCCATGTGTTGTTGCACCCTGACCCCGCCGATCTGTGTGAGGGGTGTCAATTTTTGCCTCCCCAGAAATTCTGAGAATTCTTTTTGGCCGTGGTAAAAATGCCCGTTTGGGTCCCCCCCTCGCGCGGTCCTTCAACAAGGAACAGTAAGCAGCAAGAAGTCAACAAGGAACAAACAGCAAAAAGCAGAACTGTAACAGTGGAAACTGGAAGCTGCAACTGGTACAGGAAATTGCGAACTCCCGGCCTACAGCCTGGTGGCCCCGCAAGGGGGCCGGCGGATTTCGTGCCTGGTCAGCAGCATCCCGATCTTGGTCTCGCGGGGCGGCATCTTCTCATCAGAAACGTCCGTCTTGGCGTCGGCTGCCATGGACCCTGCCACTGAGACCCTGAAGAAGGTGGCGTCGAGCATGGCCTGCCGCGCCTCGATGATCTGCCGCACCCCGTCGGGAGCTCTAGCCTGCGCGGCCATGGACTTGACGCACCGATCAGCTTCCAAGTTGCCCCGACGCGCTCTGGCCGTCACGATTCCCTCCTGCACGAGGTGGACAGATGCGTGCGCCTTAATTTTTACCACCGAGAGCCCTTGGTCACCGAGACCTCCGAAATCCTGCACAGCATGCCAGACTCATCCAAAGCTCCGCCCAGGCTGACTTGCTGCTGGTAGTGGCTTCGGGGCCGCGCTCGTTGATTCCCTTGACCACATAGTCAGCGTCAGAATGAGCGACCACAGGTGGTGGCGTGTTCTTCAGCAGGACGAACAGCGCCAATAGCCCCCCGCCGTCAATGGACTGCAGTATGCCCGCCAGTGGAGTGGCGAGGGCTCGGTTGGCCTAGCGCGGCCCAGGGTCGACCGCATCGCCTCCAGATGGAAGCACCGCCACCGCACATGCTGCACGCGCACTCCTGCTGCCACCATCGATAAAGGCACCGTCGGCGTGCGCGTCGGGCACCGCGAACGGCGCGCCCCCGTCGTGGCCCTTGATCCAGTGCACATGCGACAGGATGTATCCAGCAGGGGGCCTCCAATCGGCGCAGGGCTCTGGCAACAACACCCTCTCGAGCATGGTTCCGGCGGTGATGGAGTCGCCCTTGTCGAGTAAGCGTTCCAGCTCATTCGGATGGGTGACGGTCGGCCAGGCATCTTGGCATTCCAGGTGTTTGTGCCAAAGCATGCCGACCTTGCTAAGACAGAGTGAACACGCCGAGACTGAACTGAGTCCAGCAGCGAAGCGCCTCTCGTTGAACCACTGACCGTCTACCAAGTAGGATCTAGCGTAACCTGCCTCGGTAGGGGTCAGCGAGCGCCACTCCTTCGCGGCCATGGTGGGGCACCTGCCTGCCGTGAGCCACTTGCGAACCGGGGGCAAGAATACCCCTTCCGCCGTGCAGATGTCGTGGCGCGTGGACTTGGCCAGCTGCGCTAACTGCCATCGCCCAACGCTGCGGATGGCGATCTGCTTGACGGCCCAGTGCGAGCTGGCTGCTAAGTTGCGCTGCCCCCCTGCATCAGTGATCCAGTTGGCGAGCGAGCGTGGAACCCACGCGCTGCAGGGGCATAGCCTCTGCCCCCAGTGGCCCCCGCACGTCGCCCCAATTCTTGGCCACGCGAACGTTCCGCTCGAAGGTGCTCTTGAGCATGGGGGTGGGTGCCCTTTGCTGCGAGACAGCCTTGGCCAGCATCGAGGTGGGCCTTAGCGTGGCAGCGGAGACTGGGTCCAACGGCTTGGCCCCCGCCTACATGAGCACCTCCGTGGTATTCTGACCCTGGAGTCGAGGGTCCAGGGCTTCATTTTGGAGAGCTCGCTGCAGTTGAGACCTGTGCAGCTGGCGCCGTACATCGCAGACGGATGTAGCCCTGTGTGGGCGACATTGGCCGCGGCCGTGCGACCGCGCCTCAAGCCCGAGAAGTTGCGCGCCTTGCCCAGCCGCACTTCGACGTTGGCCAACCGTGGCTGCCCGCGGGATCTCGCTGCTCTGAGCCCATCGCCCGATCGATCCCAAGATTGCTCGCGTGCTTGCCCCCCGGGGGCCCATGCCAGCTTAAGCAGCTGCCTCGAGATAGCTCCTCTCAGGCTGGGAATGCTGCCCAGCGCGCGCGACTTCTTAACCGCGATCCTCAGCATCACCTGCCTGAGATGTCCAATGAGAGCGCGCGTCGCCCCCGCGAGGTCGTTCTGCGCATTCGTGGGGCCGCCCGAGCGCTGGGGCACCAGGTGGTCGACCGCGATGGCGGGTGTGACAGCGAGAGTGCTGGATAGCCAAGTGCCAAGTGTTTGCCCCTCGTCTCACTTGTTTCTTACCCGTGAACATTGCGGCTCCCAGGTCCCTTGAGTCTCGGGCGACGCACGGGAAATATCAGCGCCTATCTCATCTTCACATTTGTAGCAGGAGCTGTTCGACCCACGGACGCGCCTTCGCAGCATCGAAGAGAAACAGCTCGCAGCATGGAGAGAAGCAGCTCGCGGCATCGAGTTCGGCGGACAGACCGCCGCGCATTAACAAGTGCGAGGCCGGAGATCTACAGGGGGATCTACAGCAGGGCCGGCAAGGATGGCGCCCGAGGCGGGCCCGTCCGAGGAAGCAGCAGAGGGCGAGGAAGGACGCGCCCAGCAGCAGGGGGGGCCACGCGTTCCAGCTCCCGCCTTCGACACAGACGATGACGATGAAGGATTGCAGGATGTGAGTGGCGATGTTCAAGATAAGGACCAGACTGCCCCTTGAGAGGCAGGCCGCGGAGCTCCACGCAGAACTGAAGGGCGACGCCTGGATTCATGCAGAGGACCTCGGCCCGACGGAGCTTCAGAATGACGCAGGGGTCCAAGTGCTGCTCGACTTCCTAGCAGATCAGTTCGACGACGAGGAAGCGATGGAGCTCGGGTCCGAGCTCAAGACATTCTTCGCGCGCATGCGCCGCGACAGCGGCGAGGAGATCAGGGCCTTCATCGACCGCTTCGACACGCAGGCCTCAAGACTTAAGACAGTGCAGATCGAGTTCGCGGATCAAGCGCTGGCGCGGTGGTTCATGCGGTGGCTTAGCCTGCCGCCAGATCGCGAAGCTGGAGTACTCAATCAGCATCAGTACGAGCTCGAGCCTTTACAGAAGCAGACGTTGCTTAACGTGAAGGACGCCAAAGCACTGAACAAGCGCAACCCCCGGAGGCCAGCGCCCGTGACACCACTAGCGCCCAGAGGTCCACCAGCGCGACCTCGACGATGGGGGGCTCACATCACCGAGAACGACGAAGAGGAGGATCTCGAGGTGCACGGGACCCAGGTGGACGACGATGACCTGCCGGAGGAGTTACTTGAGGAGCACGAGGAAGCGGGGGCCGAAGTTCACAAGTTGGAGAAGATGCTCGCCCGAGCGAAGGGCAGGCAACATGACGCCAAGCAGTCTAGAGGTTTTGATCAGAGAGATCGGCTACTTGGGCGCGGACTTGGTAAAGGACCTGGCGGGGAAGGCAGTCCTGGAGGCGGCAAGGGGCCCGGCGGCAAGGGCTCGGACCGCGTCAAGAAGCTAAAGGCGCGGACTCACTGCGCAGTGTGCCAGAAGTTGGGGCGCTGGAAGGGTGACCCCGAGTGTGCAGGGGCGCCAGGTAAGGCGCGCATGACGACTGCCGACGACCATGACGAAGACGACCAGGGATCCGAGCAGTATCTCTCGAGCTGGAGCAGCAAGGAGAAGCGTATCGAGAAGCAGACGTTCTTCATCAACAACAACGTGCTGATGACCGGCACGGGCAGCGCGAACGTTATCATGGCTACGAAGGAGGGGCTGCTGCAGCAGTGCGGCGGCAAGCTGCCGCCAGACTCGTGCTGCGCCAGGTCCGTTGGAGGGCAGGTTTGGGCTCGCGAAGATGGGCCTCGAGCCGATCGAGTTTGATGATCACGAAGTTTTCGGGTTCGGCGTTGGGGGGCCAGTCATGAGCGCGATCGGGGCGCTGGTGCCGCTCGCAGTGCGCGGGCGTCTTCTCGCGCTGAGGATATCCATCGCGCCGCGCCTGGTCCCCGCGCTGCTATCGCAGAAGGCTCTTGCTCAGCTGGGGGCAGTGCGCGACCATGAGGTGGAGGCTGGCGAGAGCACCATGGCGTTCAGGAAGCTGGGGGTCCCCAACCTCGAGCTCGGGCAGATCAAGAGCGGACATCCGAGTTTCGATGTGCTGGAGTTCGACAGGCTCACTTTTTCACCGCGGCTCCAGACGTGAGCCCCGGCCAGACAGAGATCAGGCTGCTTCCGCCATCGCAGCGCCGGTGGAAAGTACTCGAGAGGAGCCCCATCATCATCGCTTGCAGGATCATCGTGCTATGGAGGCTTCCCAGGAACAGGTACAACATATTCCTAGTGGTTCTCCAACGGGGTCCAAAGGGGCCCCGCGTCAACCACGTCAAGAGCGACCCGAATCACGAGGAGCCAAGCTTCAACATCATGAGGGGTCCGAATCAGCACGAGCTAAACTTCAGCGACTGCGAGAGCGATCCGAATCACTGCGAACTAAACTTCAGTCAGCCTCAGGAGCACCCCAACGAGAACTCTGTGCGGGCCAGTTTCGGGAAACGGACAAGCGCGCCGAATTACAGAAACCGATGCAAAAGCAGCGAGCACCAGCACCAGCAGGATGTGTGCGATTCCACATAACGGACGATGATGAAACAGTTCGGCCTCGGCCAAATATGGTTCAAACCGTTTCAGGTGATTCTCAATATCAGTGTTTCTATTCGTGCGCGGACGCCTCTCAGCGCGCTGGGATGGACCCAGGGGTGGGGCATCCTCGATGTCAGCGCCAACAAGAAATACAACGCCGTTGCGCTGATGCGCTGGAAGCAGATTTGTAAGCTGGTGTTCTTAGCCATCGCGATGACCAGGCGCCCGGCGGTGGCCATCATCTTCCACAACGGGCGCCGCCACAGCCAGGGGGAGATCCTCGAGAGGCAGTCCGAGGCGCCAGCGCCCAGACGACTACTACCACTGGGGACTATGGTCAAGGTGGAGTTGCAGGAGGAGATGGAGAGCAACGGGCTGGAGTTCCAAGGCCTGGGCTGCAGAGAGATGCGCGTGATCCTCAGCGAGCAACGGATCGAGAACGGCCAGGGCCGCAGAGGAGCTCGAGATGCAGATCCAGAACTCCGAGGACTCGCCAAGAAGTCACGAGCAGAGTTGGCCCAGCTGGCCAGGTAACGCCACGTGAGAATGACCTGCGACATGCTCAAGGACAAAATATTGTTTTTGTTGTTGGGACAGACGCCGAAAGCAGTCAAGAAGGAAGAGACCAAGGACGAGGTACCGCTGCTGACGACTTCGAAGGTTGCTTCAGCGACCACGAGTGCCCCCTTGGCCTGTCGGAGCTGAGGAAGGGGGCAACGAGCAAGACCAGTGGGACCACAGCCCTCGGAGGACTCAGAGAGCGTCGAACCGCCAACCAGGATAAGGAGCTCATCGATCAGCGACATGGCGATTGAAGCAGAAGACATCGGCGTAGAGGAGGACCAGACTTGGGAGATGATAGTTCCGATGGGGAAGAGCAGAAAACAGTGAGAGTACAGCGCAAGACGAAGCCGGGACAGATCAAGCGCTACAAGGACATGATCAAGAAGGCCGTCTGTTTCCTGACGTGGCAGACCGCGTTCTTCGGCACCTTTCTGGCGAAGCCGCTCTTCTCGGGAGGCGAGGCTATCGTGCAAGATCTCTGCGACGTGTTCAACGTCAAGACCGACCCGAGCTACGACTTGACGCAGATCTTCGCGGGTGGGGCCGTCATCTCAGAGGAGTTCAGTCGAGCCGGACTCAAGGTGTGCGAGCCCATTGATCGGATCTACAACTACAACCTGCGGAGCGCCCAAGATCGGCGAGATATTCTACAGCTCTACCGCACATGCAAGCCGAAGCTCCTCACGCTGGAGCACCCCTGTGCACTCTGGGCACAACTTACCAGGGTGAACTATCGAGGCGAAGCTAAACAACAACAACTACGTCGGCAGCGTCTTCGAGATCGTCCCCTACTAGACTTCGCGGAGGAGATCGGTATGATGCAGCTGAACAGCAAGCGAGATATCCTGCTCGAGAATCCCTTGACGTCGGAGGTATTCAAGCAGTCGTTGATCAAGCGTTTAAAGGGGCCTCCCCGGGTGAAAGAGGTGAAGGTCGACATGTGCCAGTTCAACCTACGACGCCAGCAGTCTAACGGAATGGTCAAGAAGCCGACGAAGTTCTTGGTCTCTAATGACTCCTACGTCAAGCGGTTGAGCAGGCAATGTGACGGACGTCGCCCGCATCACCAACTGGACGGAGCTCGCCACAATCGCAAGGCAGGACGATGCACCAGAGAGTTCGCGAAGGCAGTCTTGCAAGCATGCCAGCACAGCAACATTACATACATAATAGAGAACGGAGTCTACGCGACCGGCGACTTAATGGATCTTATGGGCGGCGAATCGGACGTGATTCTACTGCGAGAACGTGGGCGACTTTACCGAGGTACCCGTCGAGTTGCCAGATGGACTTGACTGGAGCCGCGTAGGCAGAACAAGGGTCGTAGACCTCGAGACCGACGCGGCGTTGCAGGACTTCGAGAAGGCCGATAGCACAACGGATTTGATCAAGCCGAAGTTGGATCGCACTGCCAAGTTGGAGATTCAGCTATGGTACAAGCCAGAGCCTGTTGCAGAGGACATCGGACCAAAGGCCACCCAGCTTGGGCCTGGAAGTTCCGAGTGCTCAAGCAAGGACCTCGCAGCTCTACGACAACTTCACCAGAACTTGGGCCACCCCAGCAACGAGGATCTTGCCACATCGTTGAGATTTTCAGGATGCAGACCAGAGGTAGTGAAGGCCGCGAAGACACTACGATGCGCGACGTGCATGAGCACGGTCCGGAAGAAAATCGCGAGACCAGCTAGAATTTTTCCACGCAGCCGATTTCAATGAGCAGATTGGTTTGGATTGTCTTACGATCAAGGATGTGGATGGTCAGTCATTTATATATATATACATATATATATATATATATATCTGTGGTGGATTTAGGTACGACGTTTCACGTTGCGGGCATGATTGAAAGTCACCATTCGGAAGTATGGTCTAAGGTATTCACTCAGTTATGGACAATTTGGGCAGGGCCACTGCTTGATAAGTTTCATTGCGCGGTCGTTCCAGGGGCCGGTCAAGCAGCATGGCAACACGGGCGGACTGAACGCCAAGGAGGTTGGTGGAAGGAGTTGGCCGAGAGAACCATTTCGCACGCCGCGGCCTCAGGTGAGTCCGCCACGCGCATTATCGTTTCCGTGGTCACGGGGGCCAAGAACGCGCTGCGACGTCAATGGGTTTTCGGTAAGAGCGCGCGACTACCAGCTGATCTAGTGGACGGAGCTCACCATGACGCAGCGCATGCAGGAGCCGAGCTACAACCGATGGAACGACAGCTGAAGAGCTGAAGATGCGGACCGCCGCCCGCAAGGCTTTCATGGAAATGCAGAACGATAACACGCTACGCAAGGCACTGCTGGGCCGCGCCCGCGTGCACGGCAATCCGCTTGAGCACGGTGACCTTTGTTTCTACTACCGCCGGCTCAAGAAGGGCTCGATCAAGAAGGGCACCTGGTTGGGGCCAGCCGTGATCGTGGGCAAACAAGGCCAGGACTACGGGGTATCGCACGGTGGTTTCACCAAGCTCGTAGCTCCAGAACGCATTCGGCCAGTTACTACTGAAGAAATCTGGTGGCCGGGAAAAGACGATCAGCATGGGGAAGCCCTCGACCAGCTCCAGCGGCTAAGCCGTGACGCCAGCGCCGATATGGAGCGCGAGGATCTTCGAGGAGAACAACCACCGCCATCAACATAATACTAACAAGTTGTGGAGATGGAGGCGGGCGCTGCAGGGGCCCCCGCCGAGGATGCATCAGGAGTTCGTGCTGATGTTGAGCTCGCACCTGCAGAGGAGCTCCCATCTGGTCAAGCTGACGCACCCGCATCATCGCCTACCCCGATCTCAACGCAGGCACCCGGACAAGTACAGGATAACTATGCACCCAACTACGAGGACTGGAACCGCGAGGAGTTTCAGCGACGCCGAGCAGTCTACAGTCCCTTCGATGACGTGCCACATTGCATTCGAGGGAGTCCACAGCAAGAAGAAGCTGCCCACCGCGTCGCTGGACGACGAGCCGCTCGACAAGCGGGGCAGCCTTACATCGTCAGCACCACCGATGACAGCGACCAGGGCACTACCGCCAACTCTAGCTTCGCAGCAATGCTTCGCGGAGCTCGAGCTCAGAGCGGAAGGCTCAGAAAGAAGCTTCAAGACAAAGGGATCGCTTGGAAGGACATCCCCGAGGGACACAAGCCCCTCTACCGAAAAGCCATCGCCGAGCACTGGGAGGAATGGGGGAAGTTCGATTCCGTCGAGGCGCTTTCACTGGAGGAATCTCTACAAGCCTGGAACGATAATGACAGCAACCGCTTCCTGTGTCTCGCTTCGTGTTCCGTGACAAGAATGTCAATGTCCGCGCAGAAGCTAACCCCGTGCCGGTGAAGGCCAAGGCTTGACTATGAGAGAGAGAGAGAGAGAGAGAGAGAGAGAGAGAGAGGGAGAGAGAGAAAAAAGCAGAGAGAGAAAATACAGGGAGAGAGAAATAAAGAAAGAGAGAGAGAGAGCGAGAGAGAGAGAGAGAGATACCAGAGAGAGAACAGAGAGAGAGAAAGAGAGATAGAGAGAGAGAGAGAGAGAGATAGAGGGGGAGAGAGAAGGACATAATGAAAGGGAGGGAGAGAGAGAGAGAGAGAGAGAGAGAGAGAGAGAGAGAGAAAGAGAGAGAGAAGAGAGAGAGAGAGAGAGAGAGAGGGAGAGAGAGAGAGAGAGAGAGAGCGAGAGAGAGAGAGAGAGAGAGAGAGAGAGAGAGAGAAAAGAGAGAGAGGAGAGAGAGATAACAGAGAGAGAAGAGAGAGAGAGAGAGAGAGAGAGAGAGAGAGAGAGAGAGAGAGAGAGATAGAGAGAGGGAGAGAGATAGAGAGAGAGAGAGAGAGAGAACAAAAAAGAGAGAGAGAGAGAGAGAGAGAGAGAGGAGAGAGAGAGAGAGAGAGAAATAATGAAAGGGAGAGAGAGAGAGATAAATAATGAAAGGGAGAGAGAGAGAGAGAGAGAGAGAGAGAGAGAAAGAGACAAAAGGAGGGGGCGTGTATGTTTCGTGATTGCTGCGGCCATAGCTTTTCAAGATCTCGGGCTTGCAGCTGACATTCCACGGGCCGGGCCGCCCTGGATCGCCCGGGCCAGAGCTCCAATGCCGCCGCGCCGTCAAGCTTGCGGCGGCGACGAGGCTGCTGCGGTCGTTCCTGAATATCGCGGGAACGCGCGCGGCGCCTCTTTCGCCGCTCTCGCACGAAGGCGCGCTTGCATTCGATCCCCAGGGCGGCTGCCACATGCGCTGCGCCCTTTCGGTTGCCAAGTGGAGAGTTGTCCGCCTTCGCGCTTGCGCAGCGGCGGCCTCTTCGCGGTGGGCGACGGCGACGGCCGCGCGCGCGCGCTGCGCGTCGGCGAGCACGCGGTCGTCTGCTTCCGCAGCGGCACGGCAGCGCTCGTTTCTATTCCCGAGGGCGGCTGCTGCTGCTGGAACGCAAATATATTCGTTGCTTCGGAGATTGGCTCGTCGCCGTCGTCTGCTGAAACGCCGAGCGGGTCGAGTGTTTCTGTTGGCGGTGGGAAGTTCGATTCGCTGTGCGGCATGAGCTCCATACTTTCTGTCGATGCGCAGAAGGAAAAATGGCCGTCCGACCTGCGCTCGGCGATCAAGACCGAGCACTGAGCGAGGGCGGGCAGCGATTATCATGATGGACGGGGCGTTCGGCAGCGCGGGTGTTTGGCGGCGCCTCGATGCCCCGTGGGAGTTTTTCATCGGCGCGGGCGACTTTGCGAACGTCTGACTCATGTCCACCCACCTCAGAATTGGGCCGTTCAATTTCAGAAACTCGCCGGGGTCGTTTTGCGCCGCAAGCAACAATTCGACCGCGCTCGCGCCGTCCTGCTGCGCCCAGTCTCTATTCAGCTCGCCCCGAGGGCGGTCGGCGGGTTTGCGACGCCGTCCAGGACGTGCGCGCTCAGCTACACACTTC